CTGTCCCTCAGCTCTTCAGCTCAAGGCTAGCGCTCTACCACTTGAGCCACAGCACCACTTCCGGCTTTTTTCTTTTTGCTTATATGGTGCTGAGGAATCAAACCCAGGGCCTCATGCATGCAAGGCAAGAGCTCTACCACTGAGCCACCTTCCCAGCCCTATACTCCTGCTTTTTAAGTATGTAAAGGTAGAACCCACAAGAGACAAAACATATTTTCTATTAAAAGGGAATTGTGAATTAGAGAAAACTTTTACACAAAGAACAATACTTTTTACATGAAAATGTAAGAGCATTTTAAATGCAGTCAAAGCCCCTCTATTATGTCTTAAGTAAAGATGCAAGCTTCTTTTGCATTCATATTTGTTAAGTCTATGAATCAAAGTGTTCAAATCAGAGACAGAAAAATATAATTTGTTATATAAGACAGCTGATGCAAGACTTTCAGCTGATCTCTTAGCAGAAACCTGACAGGTCAGGAGAGAGTAGGATAACATATTCAAAGTATTTTGAAAGAGAAATATTTCCAGTCAGTAATATTATATCTGACAAAACTACCTTTCTGAAATTAATGATAAATACTTTCCTGGATAAACAAAAGCTGAGAGAGTTTATTATCACTAGACTGAAAGTGAATCCTGCATGTAGAAACAAAAGTAAGCTAAGTAGCATCATGACAAATTCATGAAAGAAAATGCATAATTGCTAAGTGACACAAGCCAGTCACAGAACAAATTCTACCTGATGTTACCTGCATAAGATATCTAAAGTAATTCTACTCACAGAGGCAAAATGCTGTTTGCCAGAGCAATACATAAAAAATATTAAAGAAATATATGGAGTTATATTTTGTTTCCTAAATCACAATTTCTGTATTTGTGGGATTTTTTTAACCTTAATTCTTCATTTCTATTTCTTCTTTTCTTTGCCCACTTGGACTCTACATTCTATAAGTAGTTACTTCATCAATAATTACTAATGGAATTATAAAAGCTTTATATCTGAAAACTAAATATTTTGTTTGTTTGATTTTAAAGGTAGAAGTGTCCAAGTTTGATGCTTTAGAAGAAGTATGTGCTGAACTGAAGCTGAAGCAGTTGCTCTGGGATTCTTTATCTGAGTGGGATAAACTCCAGCAAGAGTGGTTAAAGGTAAATATGTGTGTGCATGTATAATTTTATATCCAATTGAAAAATCAAGACAATATAAATTACAATTTTTTGTTGTTTTTGGTCATGGGGCTTGAACTCTGGGCCTGGGCACTGTCCCTCAGCTCTTCAGCTCAAGGCGAGCGCTCTATCACTTGAGCCACTGCGCCACTTCCAGTTTTCTGGTGGTTTATTGGAGATAGGAGTCTCACGGTCTTTCCTGCCCAGGCTGGTTTTGAATGGTGATCCTCAGATCTCAGCCTCCTGAGTAGCTAGGATTACAGGCGTGACCCACTGGCACACAGCTAAATTACACATTTTAATAATAGCTTTCTTAGTGTCATTAAAACGTACAATACTATATTTTCATGAGGATTTTTTTATCAGCTCTCCAATAGGTTCTTTTGTTGTTAAATACTACAAATCAGAAAGCATTGTTTTTTTAATTAATACATATTTTTATTGTAAAGATAATGTACAGAGGGCTTACAGTTACATAAGTAAGGTAATGATACATTTCCTATTAAGCATTGTTACCCCCCTCCTTTGTTTATCCCCTACCATCCTTTCCCTCCCCTCTTCCTCCTTCTCCTCCACCCCTGAAGTTGTAACGTTCATTTTCTTTTTTTTCTTTCCATATATTTTTATTGTAAAAATACCGTACAGAGGAGCTACAGTTACATCAGTAGGGTAATGAGTACATTTCCTATCAAGCATTGTTGCCTCTTCCTTTGTTTTTCCTCTACCATCCCTTCCCTCCACCCTTCCCAACTCCTTCCCACCTCCGAAATTGTAAAGTTCATTTTCAACATAGTGTTTTGTATACCTCATCATTGCAAAGGGTCAACCTGTTTCCTTATTTAAGCATTTTGTTATATTCCTTCCCCTCCCCAAATTAGAAAAATGTATATACAAGATGCAGGACACCTGAATCAGATACTGTGAAAACAGGGGTTATACTGTGTGGGAAGAACATACAAAAGAAACAAGAGAATCACATAGTGCATTATAAGTACATTAAAATAGCAAGAAAGAAAAAAAAACCACTTGTGTCCCTATCTTTGGATTCATTTAGCTTAACATCATCTTATATGGTCATATGTACATAGTTTTTTACCTTTTCTGCTTGTCCTAGACCTGGACTACTTATTGCAAATAAGGGAAAACATGGGTGGAACCTATGTTTCTTTGGGCCTGGCTTACTTCACTTAGTATAATTTTTTCCAAGTCTTTCCATTTCTCAACAAACGGGGCAATGTCCTTCTGATGAAGGAAAAGAATTCTAGTGTGTGTGTATGTGTGTGTGTGTGTGTGTGTGTGTGTGTGTGTGTGTTGTATAGTACATTGTGTGTGTGTGTGTGTGTATATATATATATATATATATATATATATATATATATCACATTTTCTCCATTCATCTACTCAGGGGCATCTGGGTTGGTTCCATATCTTGGCTATGGTGACTAATGCAGTGATAAACATGGTTGTGCTGGTAGCTTTGGTATGACCTTGTTTGTGATCACTTGGGTAAAGAAAGATTTCTGGCTACTTCAACAATCCATCCAAAAAATTATAAACCACGATCAAACAGGATTCATTTCAGGGATGCAAAGTTGGTTCAATATATGCAAAATCAATTAATATAATTTATCACATCAACAGGAGCGATAATAAGAAACACATGGTTATTTCAATAGATGCAGAAAAAGCATTTGACAAGATCCAACACCCCTTTATGATGAAGGTCTTAGAAACATTAGGAATCCATGAAACATTCCTCAATACAATAAAGGCTGTATATGACAAACCTACAGCCAGCATTATACTTAATGGTGAAAAACTAAAGCCATTTCCTCTTAACTCAGGAACAAGACAAGGATGTCCACTCTCTCCACTTCTCTTCAATCTAGTATTAGAATGCCTAG